CAGACTAGGAGAAGGATAATTCTGAATTCAAACTGGTTAATTCTAGGGGTAGCAATTCCATTCCCTAAAATCTACTTGCTAGTGAAACTGCAACATTATTGTACAGAATGGTGTTGTTGTGGTTGTATGCTCCACAAAAGATCTAGAAATTTTCAGAAGTGATAAAATACTACAGTTGCTCAAAATGACATTTCATAAAACATTTCTGGGTGTGCATATGCAAACACATTTTAAACTTGGGAGGATATATGAATAACTGAGTGAAAGTTATTTTCTCCTGAGCAATGCTGAATCACCTTGCTAACACAATAAAATAAAACAAATTTTGATGTTTGTTTGACTCCATCATAGAATTTGATTACCTTAGATCATCATGCATTTCAGTATTACGGTGATGGATAGAAAAAAGAAGCAAAAGATTTCCAAATAATTGATTGCTCTCTGAGTGACCAAAATAAATTTTGACAGAAGTTGAAAGAAACTGAATTTTTGTGTGGAAGATAAGTGGATTAAACAAAAAAAATAATTTTTATCTTTTGAAATAAATATTGGTGTGCTCTGGTCACAAAAAAAAGAAGAAATATCCATTGTTTATACAAAGACGGCACCAGTGGTATTGTCTGGAATTGGTTGTGTTGAATTGGAAGGAGTTTGTTCAACTGTTTCCTTTGAATCTTTTGGTTGTTGCGGACTAGCTGCAGAGCCACTGCTGCTATCTGGAGGAAAATAAAAGTAAAATAATCGTATATAGGCAACAACTAATCTTCTGGGAATTTGTTAACAATTCATACAATATAGATATTTACTTAACTTGAATACATTACAGTCATAGTAATTTGTGTGACAAACTTATGAACAATTATTCTTTATTGATACCAAAGATGTCCCTTAAGCTCAATATCAAGTCATGTCCAATTTATTAAATTTGCAAATAAAAAAAATAAGGAGAGATTACTCTGTAATTAGCCAAACTCCAACTCTGTTTAAAATTTAAAGTTAAAAATGTAAAGATGATACAAAAATATCAAATATGATCTGTTAAAATATATATACAAAAAGCAATGTGAACAAATAATTTTTCAAGGTTGAAGCAATGCAAGGCTAGAGTTTGCAAGCAAAGCAATGGTGGCAAGTAGAGTGCAGTGAAAAACCATTTACCTGAGTCATATTTAAAGCTTGTAATTTGATGACAAAATCTGATTGCCCAAATACACAAATTAAAACCTGTAATTATGTTAATTTTCTTAGTTATATGCATTCATACATACACCTGTGTGTAAAAGAGCAAATATAAGTGCATTATATAAAAAATTATTTTTTTAGTTATAGTTTCAGAGAGAGGATGTATAATCTATTCATGTATACATGTGGGTGTAAGAGAGCAAATGTAGGTGCATTATATAAAAATAGTTTTTTTTAGTTATAGTTTCAAGGAGAGGGTACATAATCTATTCATGTATACATGTGGGTGTAAGAGAGCAAATGTAGGTGCATTATATAAAAATAGTTTTTTTTAGTTATAGTTTCAAGGAGAGGGTGCATAATCTATTCATGTATACACCTGTGTGTAAAAGAGTAAATGTAGGTGTATTATATAAAAAATAGTATTTTAGTTATAGTTTCAAGGAAAGTGTGCATAATATGGCATGATCAGTGGTTGAATAAGGCCTGTATGCCTAAATACTCAGTTATGGTGACTTATGTGTTTGTGATAGCATAACCATTTATGGCTTCTGAACAGTTTTGTCATCCCAATTTCATCCACAAGGCTTGGGGTAACCTGTGATATGGTTGTCAGGCACTTTACAATGATGTCACATGCTGGGATATCTATCTATCTAAAGTTGAGAAAGTTGATTGGAACAGAAAATCATAGTAGGGAAAGGTGCACAAACAAGGGGAATAACTGTAGCCTTGAGAGGATGATCAAGTAAAGTTGATTCAACAACTTGAGGAAATCTTACAAGAGGTGAACTGAAATTGAAGTCAGTGTATCAAGAGTCATCACACACAAAACAGTGCAGGAAATGGATTAAAATGCTGCATTCCTAATGTCAAGCCACTCCTAAACCAGAGACAAAATCAGAAGCATGTTACTTGGGCTAAGGAATAAAAAATGGACCCTTTCTCAGTGGTCCCAAATTCTCTTTTCAGGTGAAAGTAAATTTTCCATTTCATTTGGAAGAATGTGGAGGGGCACAGAATTCAAATTGCTTGAACTCCAGTGTGAAGTTATCACAGTCAGTGATGTTTTGGGAGGGCCATATCACTTGCTGGTCTTGATTTAATCTACTTTATTTTATCAAGTTAACAAAGCTATCTACCAGGAAATTTTAGAGCACTACATGCTTCTGTCTGTTGACAAGATTTATGAAGATGCTAATTTCAATTTTCCAGTAGAATTTGGCAACTACCCATAGTGCCTAAATTACTAGAAACTGGTTTGCTGACCATAGTATTACTGTGTATAATTGACCAGCCAACTTGCCTGACTTAAACTCCATAGAAAATCTTTGGGATATTCTGAAGAAGAAGATGAGAGACACCAGACCTAACAACACAAATGAGCTGAAGGCTGTTATCAAAGAAAATTGGACTTCCTTAACAACTCAGCAGTTCAATGGACTAATTGTCACCTGCATTGATGCAATAATTTGTGCAAAAGAAGCCTCAATCAAAAACTGAATAAATAAATATGTACGAGGTGTCTCAGAAAAGAAAAACACAAAAATAACAAAAAATTTATGCCTACAAGATTTCCCTTTTGAAATTATCCCCCTCAAGTCTAACATGCTTTCCTATCCTTCTCTGCTATGCCCCCATGCACTCTTGAAAGGATTCTCCATGGCTCTGTCATTTCTGGAAAGTAGGTTCCCTTTATGAATATGGAAAATAGGTCCCCTTTATGAACATGCCATACCAGAGCAATCTCCCTACTCACCTGACCTAGCTCTGTATGATTTTTTTTTCCTTTTTCCCAAAATCAAGGGGATCATCAAGAGGACTTGGTTTCCAGATGTGGAAGCCATCAGGAAGGCTGTGATGATGGAGCTACAGAGAATCCTCCCAGGAGTGCATGGAGGCATGGCAGAGAAGGATGGAAAAGTGTGATATTCTAATATCTTGAGATAGTTGATTTTCGATTTTCAGGAGTAACCATCAAATAGAAACAAAAAAGGCTAGAAATTTTTAAATTTTTTTTACAACGAAGTTTGTCCTGTTCAAGGCCTGGAGGCCACTTGAAGTAGAAGGTTACAGTGTAAGAAGCACAGTTTACGTGAATATGTGGGGAAGATAACAATTAACCCTAAACTTGAACAGGTTAAGATTGTAGTGACCAAGAAAACATTCCCTTGGGAGTTGGTTCCAGAGAGCAGTGGTCTATAAGAAGAAACTACTCAAGTGAAACTTACTTCTCACCAATGGAACACAGAGGGAGTGAGGGTGGTTCACTACAATGTGCATAGCATATCAGGTCCTAGCTTTGAAGATTAGGACTGGCGGAACAAAGGGATGTAGTTTGTCAGACCACTTTCTATGGAGGTAGTGATTGCAGTGAGAGGCTTGCAACATCTCATTTGTGGGAATATTTTATTTTATGTGTAAGTGATCTAGAATATATGAAAGTTTCACTTTTTGAATTAAATTATAGAAAAACATGAATTTTTTCATGATATTCTAATTTTTGGGATGAACCTGTATCTGTAAGTTTGCATGAATGATATATTTTCTATGCTGGATAAAAACAATCTATATTTGTTCCAAGTGAAAAGAAGGCCCACCACAGAATAAAAAGAAAATGTGATGAAATAACTATTAAAAAATAAAATTAAAGAAACAGTTAAAATTATGTTCCTCACCTGTGCAGTTGTTGTGAAACTCATTTGCAGTTATAATCTCAGGTGTTGATAGCTCAGAGGATGATGGCTCATTCAACATTTGGGAGTTTTCTGTCATGGATGCATCATTAAGATCTGAAGAGAAAGATGGCAAATTTCCATCGGAATTATTTGCTCCACTGTCTTCAGCATCTAAGCTTGTGGCTGTTAACATGTCTGATGGGCATATGGTTTTTGTCTCCACTGTCTGATTAGTTTCTATAAGGATCTCAGGTTTGGAACTCTTGTTCTCTGATAGTTCAAATTTCATGGAATTCTCTTCATTACTTGCAAACTGAGTTGACAATTGTGAAGAATTGGAATCAATCGTGTTGCAATTCTGTAAAGTTTCAACTTCATTGGCATCATCTTTTTCTGATTCATCTTCAGGCTTTTCAGTTTGACTTACTTCCAGATGCTCTGATGTTACTTTCAGAGAATAAGAAAGTTCTTCAAACCCACCACTTTTTTCAATGGTTTCAACATTGTTAACATTTACAGGGTCTGTAGAACTAGCAATTTCCAAAGAAATGTCCTCAGCTCCCAGTTCCTGATTTAAAGAATCTGTGACATCTTTGTTTGTTATGATTACATCCTCTTCTGTAGTGGTGTTAACTTCTGTATTTTCAATAAAGTTCAATGCAACAGCCTCTTTATTATCAATCCCCTCTCCACTTACCTTGTCTTGAAATGGTTCTGGCAGTGTGTCTGAGACTGTCATATGAGTTTCATTAACCTCTTTGGATTTCTCTTCAGTTTCTGAAGTCTTGGTGACCTCAGACAGATACAGTTCTTTGTCTGTCTTTTCCTCAATTTGATTGTCTTCAGAAATGGATTCCTGTTGATTTGCTTCATTGAACTCTGGTTTATTATTCTTTCTTTTGTATTCATGAGTCAAATATTCTACAGCTGATTCCAAAGTCTCATCCACCAGTTCCTTTACCATTCCTGTCACAAGATCTGTGTCTTTCATAACTTCAGTCTGCGAAACTATCTTTGGTGTTTCTGTTAAGGAACTCTGGGTTTCTAGCTTTGGTTTAGGGACAGTGCTGGAAGAAATGGCATCGCAGATGTTTTCTTGACTCAGATTTGATACTGTTGGACTGTCATCTCTGCTATCTTTGGTTTGATTTTCAACAATTGAATTTGCTGGAGTGTCTGTTGGGGAACAGGAATTGAATGGGTATGATTTTTCAATGTAATCCTGGCACTTTTCAGTTACTTCAACTGTTGGGGTTATCAGTTTAGTGCCAATAGTAGAAGAATTCTTTTTATCTTGATGATTTGTTTCAGTATGTTCCTCCTCACTTGACACTGAATGAATGGTATTGCCCCTGGCAAATCCACTATCCTGCCCACTGGACAGACTTTCCCCTGGACTAGCAGTGACACTACTGCTACTGTAGTCACAATTAAGAAGACTCGGTCGTTCTTCACTTTCAATGTCTTTGAGATTTTTCTGAAGATCCTCTGAAATAAAATTGGAGCTGTCAATTTTTTTACACATTAAACAAAAATTTCTGGAATCAGTGAGTTGAGAAGGAAGTATAGACATTTTGTTTTTTTAGAGAGAGAAAGAGAAGCTCAATGTTGCATAGAATTGAGCAATTGAAGGAAGAGGTGTCCCTGGAAGATAAGAAAGAATATGGAGAAGGAGGTGCTGAAAAGTTTTCAGCACAGCCAAGAAGGGATTCAAAATAAAATCTGATGAGTTGCACATCTTTGCAATGGTCTGTTCTGGTAATGTAGTAGAGAAAGAATTTTTATTTTATAATAAATAAACAATTTAAGTTTTGAACTCTTGATTTAGAATAAAATTTTATGTTATATTATTTTGGAATTTTTTTTTTAATTTTTAAAGTTAAAAATAGAAGAAACTAAATACCAAGGTGTTTTATTGTCATAATGTGTTTATACAAAGCAATATTATATTAAAGGAACAATTAAGTTGTGATTAGCTCTATAGATAATCATTTTAAGTAATATATTTAAATATATGTATATATTAGGAAAATTAATGATAGATTGGAAATTTTTTATACAACATGTTTTGTCCTTTAAGAATTCAATCAGATTGAAATGATATTTATGTTGATATATCTACAAATGCACATGAAGAGGAGAGGATGCTTAAATTTTAAACTTTTTTAAACTTTTTTTCTTATTTTATGAGTGTGGACTGAAAAGATCATAGGCTGGTTATGAAAGAGTGATGCTAGAACTGGGAAATATCGCATGCCTTAATTTCAACTCTTCTTATTAATAACTTCATTGTTTCTTTCCAGGCAAACTGACATCTGACTATTCAAAGAAGACTTCAAATGTAACAAGTAGTGACTTCTCTTGAAAATGGACAAAATTTGGCATCATGGTGTTATCATGTACCTGCAGAAAAAGGGTTTAATTCATACTGACATGGTTGCTACATTATGAGATGATGCTCCAGTTTTATCAACTCTTCAAAAGTGGGCAGCTGAATTTAGGAGAGAAAGGAAGTGTGGACATTCTGCAATTGCTAACACCAATGAAAAAAATGATTGTGTTCACCACATGGTGATAGATAATAGGCAATGTACTATCAATCAAATAGCCAATGCTATTAGCATATCCTGAGAGTTGAGAATATTCTGCACAATGAATTTAGCATAACAAAGGTTTCTGCCCAGTGGGTACCAGAGTTTCTAACACTTTGTCAAAAAAGCACTGTCTGATCACATCACGGGAAAATTTGACATTGTTTAAGGCAGATCCAGCTGGTTTCCTAGAATATTTCCTAACCAAAGACAAGTGTTGGGTTCATCACTTTGAACCAGAGGTAAAGCAACAACCCAGGCAGTGGAAACATCCCTCCTCATCTGCTCCAAAGAAGGCCAAGGTTGTTTCATCTGCAGGGAAGGTAATGGCCTCAGTTCATTTTGGATGCAAAAGGCATTGTGTTTATTGACTATCTTCAAAATAGCCACACCATTAATAGAAAGTACTATGCCAAATTGCTAAGGCAATTATGAAAGGTTATCAAGACAAACACCTAAGAAAATTGATGAAAGAGGTCTTGTTTCATCAGGACAATGCCACAGCACACAAGTCCTTGGTTTCAATGGCTGCTGTGCCTGAGTGTGGCTTTGAACTGGTCGATAACAACCCCACTCCTCCAATTTTCTTGATTTGACTATCATCTGTCCCCCAACATGAAAAAACACTTGTCTGGGAACCAGTATCATAGTGATGATGGTGACATATTTGCTGTTGATACCTTTTTTGTGAAAAAGGGTGAATAGTCTTCTTTGAACAGTCAGATGTCAGTTTAATAGGAAAGTGATGTAATGAATATGCATACACCTGGGTTCCCCCTCACAGTAATATGATTGGCTGGTGTCAGCCATAAATACAGACTGATGTGGAGGTATAGGACTATGCCTATTGCCTACACCTATTGCCTACACCTATTGCCTACCACTACGATGAGGACCAGTCCAATTCAGCTACCTGCTAGATTGTCCTACTCAGATACAGTAGTCCAAAACCACTTTGCTACTTCAAACAAATATATCCCTTTCCAGGACATATCAGAAAGAAACAATGCAATTACTAATAAGAACAGTTGAAATTAATGCATGCAAGATTTAACAGCTTCAGCATCACTCCTTTATAGTCAGCCTATGAATATTTACCCTTGTAAATATGTGTTTGTGTTTAGTCTTTTCAATTTCATTTAGTTTCTTTTCCTTTGTGTTTTTATCACTTTTAAGTATCCCATATTGTGATAATAGGTTGACTAAGAAAGGTGAAGTATAAGAACCTGGATGCAAATTTACTGTGGATGAGCTAGCAATTAAAGCACTTTCTATCTTTATGCACATATGATGTAGTCACATCAATGCAAACATCACTTTAGTCTGAAGTCCGAAAGGACAAAATGTATTACACAAGAGTTTTTTTCCACTTTGTCATTAATTTTGTTAACATTGTTCTAGTAAATAAAAATTTATATATCATTTTCTCCCATGTGTATATATTAAAAATTAGTTTGATGTTTTTTTTTATGTCTTATCAAACTTCTGCAAGTTATTTGAAGCCAGAAACTACTTTTAAATTGTAAAAATTTTTTGGAGATAATAATGATTTACTGATACAAGTCCTACTAATTAACCCAAAGTTGGGGGGAGAAGTGGTGGCCTTGTACCTTTCCCAAGAGTATTTGCATGTAAGTGAATGCAACAAACTCAACAGGAATTGGAACTTGGCTCTCCAAATTCCAGTTCTGAGCTGTTATCTGTTACACCATCCACACATCCACTCTTACAGCATTTGGTATTCCCAAGGGGTTAGCCATCTAGATACTGATCAGTATCACAAAACAAAATTAATTAAAGTGGAAGTTTATGCAAATGACTAGATTTTGATTCTGATGAGAAGTTGGAAGTGGGAGAGGTGGAGATTGGTTAATTTATAATCTGATGATGACCCTGTTTGCAATGACAATAGGCTATGTGAAAGAGGCAAGAATGTTCTGTGGATACAGTTATAATTATATTAATTTTGTATTTTTCCATAATTTTATTATGTTCTGAATTTCAAAAACCAGATATTCTTGAAATATATAAAAGCTGAGTATAATATTCTCAGAATATATATAGTATACAAGGGTTAATTTGTGTAGATAACTGATAAATTGAATTTAAGTTTGAGTTATCTTAATACTGGTAATATTTAGAAATAAATTCAATCTGGAAAAGGCTAATAAATTGTGAATTTCAGCTAAAAAGCATTCAGGTTATGCAACCTTTCAATGTCAAAGCAATTTTCATGCAACTGGAAACAGTAAATTTGCTACAAAGCAGTGCTAGGAGAAATGTTTAAACTTGTTTGAGAAAATCTTGAATAAAACTGAACAAAGATTAATTTGTAAAATATATTCAGTGGATATACAAGCAAAGCAAGCTGTTTAAGTACAGATATAATAAAAATAAAATTAAAATGTGAATTTAACAAAAAACTGAAATGTGGATTAAAAAAGAAATTAAAATATGTATATAATAAAAATATATCAGGAATTCATTAAAGATTAAACATTCAAGATGAAAATTGGGTTCAAGTGGAATCCAAAATAAGAATAGGAATATGATTCAGAATAACCGAATTAAGTTTAGAATAAGGATGAAACTGGGCTTCAAGTGGGACTCAAAATAAGAATTGGAATATAAATTGGAATAACAGAATCAAATTCACTATAAACATCAAAGAAAAAAAATTATCAAGATACATTTTATAATAAAATAATGCATGAAAATTAAAATTCATACTGAACATTTTCCTTGGGTTTTATTAGTTTTATACTTATATATATATTTTTGTCCACTACAGGATTTAACCAAGTGTATCAAACATGGGGAGTAATGGGCCTTAACCTGAAACTCTACCCCATGAAGTGTTGATCAAGCATAATCTTAAAAGCATATTAAAACAATTACTATTTTTTGTTCACTGAGAGATATCCCGTTATCATTTTAGATAACAAATTGCCTGAATCTCTATTTTGTCCATTTCCCACCCCAATTTTCCAATTTGTCTATTCTTATACATCTTTGTACAAAGCCTGTTAGGAAATAGTCTATTTTTATTCCTTGTAGACTTATTGACCATGGCTGGTAATAAAGTCACAGGAAAAATAAATTGGGGCTATGAAAAAAAGTCACAAATTGGTTTTGTTAGTGATATGTTTGGTATACGTGAACCAATTTCTTTACCACACAAATTTACTATTAATAATTTCCATGGCAGGAGGCATAAAAATTATTTTTCACTAAATTCAAGTGTTGTTGATACACAACAGCACTGGGATTATAAAAACTTTTTCCTACCAAATCCAAGTTGTTGCGCCAGATGCAAAAACTTAATCTAGTAAGAATAGCAAAACATAATAGGTGCAAAACTATAAAATAAGAAAACCTCTGTGTATAATTTTAAAAGGAAAAACACACTTATTTACTGTTTACACAATTATAAAAAAAGGTACAAGTTTACACCAAAAATTTAAATTTGCGTGCCTATTAAGGTAAGATAACAAATTCAAGGATTACCAATGAAAAGTGGAAAATTACAGCTAGGGAAAATCAAGGATTTTGTAAATGACAAAAAAGAGAAAATAATATAAGAAGGCTGTCAAAAAAAAACAAAGGTTAAACAACCTTTGAGAAAAAAATGAAAGGACCTACTTTCACAGCAATTTTTTTGACAAGTCCACTTTTAACTTCACAAAATTTGTGCTTGTGAAAATTTCTTCAAACTTTTTCTGTTTTAGGCTGTTCAACTACAGGAGAATTTTTATTTAAACTTTTGGTCTCTTCATGGCTGGCTGTTAACTGGTGCCTTCTTTGGTTTTCTCTTCTTGATGACAAATGGCTTCTTTGATGTTGCCAACTTGCCTTATTCCCTTGCTGTTCAAAAGTCTTTGGTAGTTACCAAAGACTCCCCACTGAGTCAGGATGCAACACAAGGTCAGTTATTTAATATGGAAGACCTGCATGCACTTGAGACATTGGTCAAAATTTATTCAGCCCCCACTTACATGGGATTGGGCGCAAAGCTTGTCTTAGCTGGTCAAAAGTCTTCTATCATATCTACTGACCTGACCTCTATTTATTTTAAAAATTTGGCTCACTTCTGCAACACTATTTGGAGTGTTATTAGAACTTGTGACCATATCTCTCTTTGGTCAATATATAAAAAAATCATCTTCCATAAATTGGAAATGAATCCTTCAAAATTTTGGTGGGTTTTAACTGCTGAGTCAAAAAAGATACACAATTGTAACAATGTTTACACAAACTGTCTGGCTTTCATAAAAATACACTTCTCTCAAAAGGACGTGCATAAAAACAGTCAAGATGATTGTACATTTTGACAATTATAACATTTTTAAAATAATAAAAATTAAATTTTTATAAGATCCAAGATTTCCACTATTCATGCTGTCTATTACACAGAAACTGCTAACATTGTCTTGTTTCTTTTCTTCCTGTGCATTCTTTTTGTGACTTTTTTTTACCTGGATTTTTTGTTTTATATCTTGACAAATGAGGATTAAACAGACAAATTAATACACTGATAGCAAACAAAACTGGAGATAAATATTCTGCTATGTAACTATTTAAAGATTTGATTTTTCACCTTCAGGATCATGGCTGTCCACAACTTTCTTTAATATCTGTAAGCTGAACATTGTCATGATTGTTCTTGACAAAGACTGTTGGCACTACATAAATTGACCTGCGTGCTTGTAAGAATAGGGAATCATTTTTTTAACAATTTTTGTAGATTAGTATTTCACCAAATACTCGTCACTTTTGTAATGCTCATTGTAGTATAGCCTTTGTAATCACAGATACAGCTATAGTACACCATTGAACAATACTGGTGTCAGATGCCTTCGAATATCATTCACCCTAATAGTACTTGTCGATAATACAAGCTTGAAAAGTAACCCGTATAGTGATCAGTATAGAGAAATAGTATAGTGAATAGAGTAAAGAATGGCAGTTCATATAGTAATAGTGGATAGAGTAGAAATAGCAATCAATATAGTATAGAAGATAGACTAGAAATAGCGATCTGTATAGTATAGAGGATAGACTAGAAATAGCGATCCGTATAGTATAGAGGATAGACTAGAAATAGCATTCTGTATAGTATAGAGGATAGACTAGAACTAGTATTCGTTAGTTGTCAGCTACTTCCTACATATATGCATTTCCTCTATGGTCACATAGTTTACTTAATTCAATAATGGGATCACCTGTGTTTGCTCACTGGCAATCTGTTTAACTTCAAGTGGCGGCAGTGACACTTTATTCCTATATAACAATATTTATTAGACCTTCCTCAAGATGTGACATTTGTCAGAATTGGAAAATACTGGTTATTTTTTAATATTTTAGAAGTGGGGGTCCTGTTCATAATATAAATACAGTGTCAAGTCGATCCCTGACTTCTTAAAGAGTTACCTGTATTTCATTTTTATTTACAAATGTCAAGTCAAAAACTGTGCTTATGTCATTAATAACTGTGTGCTAATAATGACATCCTTTTTCTCAGTTCATAATAGTACACAGTTATCAATGCCATAAGCATTCTTTCAAACTTGACTTTTGTCATTTTCCAATATCTTGACATTTTGAACTGTTGACCAGACAATGAGAGTTGCATGAAGCAAAACACAAGGTCATCTAAAAATGACAAATACAGAGAATATGACACATGTAGATAAACATTTTTGCATCTTATTTACAACTTGAGAATTTACTTACTGAGAAAAAGGTCTTTTTCTTTTAATGTGTCATTCAAGTGAGCCAATTGCTCATTGTAATGTTGCACTAACAGTTATACAGGTTCTAGTAATTTTTAATAAAAACTCCCCTTTAATCCTGTTGTACCTTGTTGGAACTTCAATTCTTTAACCCAAAAGAAGTGCTCACTTTGGCATCCATAACTCATCTGGCAAAAACAGATCTTAATTTTGCCTGGCTTTGAGCATTAACTTCTGAAAACCATCCAAAAATACCAAGCTCATAAAACATTAACATTAGCAGCTGCCATTTCTGAGCCACTGACTCACTATGTCAACACTGATTCCACCCATGCAGGCAGATCCTACCTGGTTGGCATTAGCAACAGACCTCATGGCAGGCAAATGTAACTGGGCCATCAGCAGTGACACCAAGGTGTCCCCATCAACATTGATGGCTTTGGGCAGTGATGAAACCAGCAGCAATAATGGATACTAACTCGAATACTACAATGCGTTAATTCATGGAATATTTCTCACAAGAATCTATCTTACTTGACTACATATGTGTATTGATTTTCTTCACATGTGTATCTTGACAACTATCTTGTTATAAGTGAACTCTCAGTCTCTCATGACAGGTATATGATAACCTAGAATGAGAAAACGATCAAAACTTGTCAATCATGGGGAAATAAAAACTCTTTTACTTATCTCAAACATGTCTTATTTCATTTGTTATTTCATCAGTTCCATTTTTTTTTGTTAACAGCAAGGTCACCATTACAATCCCGCCAAACAAAGAGAACATTTTTTTTCTTTCTAGCAGATTCCATTAGGCTGAGATCTTAAAGGCTATCCTGAATTTTGCCTTAATAGTTCTTTTTTTTTTTTTGAATTTATGGATAAATCTTTTTTTCTGTTTTGAGAAAGAAGAGCAACAAGTGATTAAATGTCCCTTTCCTTTCATGCGGACTCCATTTTCCTAGCATCTAAAATTTACCTAAGGCTCTTGCAGGATGTACTGTTAACTGATTGCCCAGGATTATTATAAACAGCAGCATAGCTAGAGTGTGTGCCACCCATGGCAGCCCTTAAGTTTGATGCCCCCCTCCTCCAGCCTCACAAAACACATATTGCACAGTGACTCATCTTAAAGTTATAAAACTAGTTTGTGTACCATTATAATATTACTTTCACATACTCATATATAGTGTGCTTTAAATACACACCAAACATATGTTAAACTTTATCAGTAACAAAAAGCAAAAAAAAACATAGTAAAAAAGTGTAAAAAAAAATTAGGACCATCTTTATTTCTGAAATGAAAATTACAACTTTCTACAACGTAATTTTTCTTGCTCTTTGTTAGCAAATTCTTTAATGACATCATCAAAAAATATTTAATCTGTCAATTGTCACTCTATCGACAATACATAAGAAAACATATAGCTTAAGTTATCCCAAATCAAAAATATCCTTTAACTTTGAGTACTGTCCTGACATTAAAATCACTTTTATTTTGATACAGCTTATACAGGCTTATAGCCTACAGCAGACACAAAAGTGCCGGCCCCATAAAAGTGCTCTCCAGGGTGGACCACACACTCTAGTTATGCCACTGATTATGAATCTCTATATGGAAAATTAAAAAGATAATTGTGAATAAAAATGTTACCAATCTACAATAATGAAAGACTTATTTTTATGACTCATGTCATTTGTAACTAAAATCTGTGAAAGAAATAAGATAATCTATAAAGTTATTGGAAAAAAAATAATCACCTCCACAAGATGATAGAGAAATTGCATCATCTTCATCTGGGGCTGGTTGACATTCTTCCAGGTGCAATTCTTTGAGAGGGAAAAAAAATGGAAAAGAGAGCATTATTGAAATATTGAATTCATTACTTTGAGAAAAGAAATTCTTTACAAGAAGTCATTCAAAAGTTTTGGATCAATTCAAGATGGCCGATCATTTCTAATGAATGAGTCTTTTGTTAGATCCTGTCTGAAATTTGTAAGAATATTTTATTAATTCTTTTGGACTTGGTTGTTTTTATCAGATTTCAGCTATTTTATGCTTTCTACAGCTGTTTATTACATTCATGGAGTGTCAAACAGAACCCTTCATATTGGGTAGCCAGTTTTTCACACTTCATGCATCAATTCAGCAAAATTATTTATAGAATTTATTGATTTTCGATATGATCAACATCAGTATTATTTTGCCTATATGAGGCATTTCACTGTTTTGATTTTAGAATTTGAAACTTAGAAAAATTAAATTCAAAATATGAACTTAAAATTATCAATATCATTTTGAATTAAAAATCATAGTCTATTGAAATTTAAAAAAAATAAGAAATTTCTATTTCATTAGCAACAACCAAAAGAAATTGAAAAACTGAAAAGTACTTAGCTTACCAATTCTTGAATGTCTCAATGATGTTCGATCTGGTTCACTTATGCAAGTGGCCGAGGAAACCTCATCTTGATCATCTTTCTTCTTTTTCTTTTTGTCATTTTTCTTGGATTTTTTCGGTTTCTCGTCATTTGGCTTTTGACGCAGCCATTTGTTTTTCTTTAAACTTCCTGGCAGAAGACAAAAATGATATAAATTTATTTTTGGTTCTTTTAACAAAATTCTACCTAAATTCTGTTGTTAGGATTATATAATACTTCAAGTCATTCTTTAACATTGTATTCAAAACTTTGCATTTCATATTTTCATGATCAATTACCTGCATGAACTCCTTATCATCATTCTGTATATGTGTTCATGTGTGTGTGTGCATGCGTGAGTGTGTGTGTTTATATATAGAAACATGCACCATATTATACAGATAATTATGAACACACACATTTGAATTTTGTTTTTAAACTTTCACTATAACATCCCTTGATGTGATTAACGTTCACCAATAAATTAAGTGCATTGATAAAAAGGACAGTATGATGAACACACACACACACACACACATATATATATATATATATATATATATATATATATATATATATATATATATATATATATATAAATAAATCTAATAGACCATTACTACCTAACTAGGTTTCACCACATGGGATCATCAGGGTGAACTGGCCAGTTTTCCCTGATGATCCCATGTGGCAAAATCTAGGTAGGTAGTACCTGGCTCATTAGGATTTATTTATTTTACTTTTGATCTACTTAGTGTATTGAGCACTCTTCATTTTAACTTATTACTCACTGTTTTTTTCTTTGTACCAGAAATTTAAGGCACTGGATGATTTCTTTCACCCTGTTGTGCTAGCTATGCTTTTTCACCCACCAAGTTTAAATAGTTATATATTACACTCACATATATATAAAATATATATATATATATATATATATGGTAGGATAAGGAACAAATAATAGGAAATGTTTATAAATTTAACATGTTTTGCTTTTATTTAAGCTATCAATGAAATTTTTGGGAAATGATTAATTGAAAAAAAATTTCCAGTGAAGCTTAAATAAAAGCAAAACATGTTAAATTTATAAACATTTCCTATTTGTTCCTTATTCTATTATTCTCTTGGATTTAGTCAATATCCAATTCTATATATATATATATATATATATATATATATATATATATATATATATATATATATAGAAAAGAAGGAAAAACTGCATTAAATAAGCAAAAAGAATTTAAACAAGTTTTGTCAAATTCAACTGATAATACCTGTGTGTTTAATTATGTATATTTTTATTGTGTGTTTTCCATTATTCAGATAAGTAGAGGTACAGCCAAAATTGTGGATACATTGTCTGGCCCGGAATGTTTTTAATTTGCTCACAGAGTCAGCCTGATTACAAAATATGTTGGGCTACAGCCTCTAGTGGTAAAGTTGAAAAAGTGTGACACACTGACATTAGCATTTATTATATAGATTTAGTTCATCAGAAAATTTTAAAGTACAAAAAATGAAAGTAACTTTTAAAAACTTGCTCAATAACAATAAGTAAAATTATAGTTATTTTTTTTATATTTCAGTATTTATTCACACTACCTGCAGATCCTCAAAATATTGGCCATCCAGAATTATATTTAATAAAGTTAGTTTTACCAGTGATATAAGAATGAGAACCATGCAAATAAAATTGATTTATCATGTGCCCCAAATTTTATTTATTTATTTTGTAGCATTCATTAATCTCATGAGACCCTGGATCTGTACCTGGAATATCTTGCTCCAGTCTGATTTTGTAGGGCAGTGTCTTTTTTGATTGTAGGGATCCACATGGTAATGAAAGTTTCAAGCTATGGGTTTTGTTTGAAACTGCTATTCTTCATTGTTGTCTTTGTGATACTTTTTTCAATAGCAATATGCTTAAATCTTTTTTCTCTTTTTAAAAATTGGTATAGTTCCAGCCTTCACTGAGAACAGTTGCTTGAATTGTTATTCATAATCTAAGATTTAAATCAGGTAAAATAAAAGAATTTTACAAGTTCTTATGATGGAAATATTTACCTAGGCACTTAAATTTTAAGAAAAATTTGTTCAAAATTAAGAAAAGAATAAACTATTTATTTTATAATTAAAGAAATGTTGATTGATTGATTTCTTTTACAGTCTATCAACCCTTTGTGGGTTATTTAAAAGTGAAACCTATTTTGGATTGTAAGAATAGCTATTTTTTGTGAGTGAATATTGTATTAACAATTTTTGTGAATAATAATGATTTTTTTTCTAGATACAAGTCCTACTATTTAACCCACAGCTTGAAAAATATACTATGGAAACTGATCTTTATATTATAAAATTTCTTGCAATGTAAAATTATTTTATGACTAAAATCTGTTTCCTTTTTAAAAGTTGTTACAACATACTGAGAATTGACAACCAAAAGTTATATAGTTCCCATAGGATCTTTAATTAAGTGATCTGAAATATGTCTTCATTGTTCCGATGTAAACTAATCTGTGGATTCTAGCATAAACATTGACAAATCTGTAAATTTGTTCTCAATGAAACCTGATGACTGATTCTTCATTGGACATTCTTCTGACATTTCCTTGTACTTGGAAATCTAGATAATCAAAGATTCCACCAAAACTGTAGCTATGAATTATAATCGATCACTCGATTGGTACAAACCTGAAGCTGCAACATTGTGGTCTACAATATTGTATATATATGAAGTTTACTTGATTGAAAACATCAGCTGTTATGTTATCAGATTCCCTTGACTTACCAATTCTACTCATATCATCATCTTCATTAGGTTCAACTGATTCCACTTGTTCAACAGAATCATTCTTCTGAAGCTGCTGCTGCTGCTTGTTGTTTGTGGAAGAACCTGAAAGAAAGACAAAAATAAATTAAACATCTGTTTGTACAGTTAAAAATTCATTAAAAACTAAAGATTTCCAGAAACAATAGGACATTATATATATTTTATTTATTTTTATCTATCAGAAATCTTATTAAAGAAAAATATGTGCTCTCTGGAAGGATTTGAACTTGTATTGTCATGGGCAGAGGAAACCGTTGTTAGATCCAATATACTCTAACCAATTCAGCTATAGAGAACTCAGCCAATCAGGCAAGGCTAAACAGTGCCTTTAAGCAAAATTCCTTTCATCATAGACTTACTTAAAATTTTCATATCTGTTTTGTATCCAAATGTGAGCAAAGCAATTTTCTCAAGAAGTGGAGGGAGGATGCAGGTTTTAATTATCCCCAAGAACGCATATATTTCTTTAATAAGATTTCTTAGATATTCAGGCCAGTAGATGTAAATAAATAAATATGCTGTTGATATTGCCACATCTATAAATGCACACGAAATGAGAGATGCTGGTAGTTTCAAACATTTTGGAAAGGAGCCATGGTAAATTTGCGTACAGACTCTTACAATATGTCACCACTCTTGGTAGATTTTCTGTTGTCACAATGTTGGATAGTCAGAGACAAAGGTGACGGAAAGAAAAAGAATACAGATGAATTTGGTTTGATTGGAAAAATTATTCTTTCAAAAATTTTGAAACTAACCAGCATCTCTCATTTTATGTGCATGTGTATACATGGCAACATCAGCAATGCCCAGTTTGATGAAATCTTAATGGATGAAACTTTTTCCAATTTGTCATACTATATATATATATATATATATATATATATATATATATATATATATATATATATCACATTTGGAAAAACGTTCATGAAATTATGTTTAAAAAATAATATCCAATAATGCATTTTGCCTCTAATGGCTTCATCAGATGGATAGTGAAAAGATGTGTTGTGTGTGTATGCATTTATGTGTTTAAATCTTATATTATTTTTCCCAAGTTGGCATTGCTTGAGACTAAATGAAGTGAAATTATTAAATAAAATTTCATAATCATTTTTTTTAACTGATAAGCAGCTCTGAAAACCATAAAATAATAAAAGCACACATGGACATAAAAAGCTGTGGAATTGATGCAGATGTGTATTAGAGACAATAGACAACATATTACAGCAGACATGCATTGTGTGACAGTTAACGTGTTTGCATGCTTCCTGAAATGTCTAAACAGAACGAATTGTCATTTATGTAAGTCTATATGTGTTAAACTTGGCTATACTTTCACATCTTAAGAATTCTGTAAAATCATGCCAGATATTTCAGCCAGACTCCCATGAAGAAACCTTGCTGGAGATGGCCTTTTCTTCCTCTAAATAAAAAAAAATTAACCACTTTATACTCGCGTCAGCAAATTAAGAAACAAACAAAGAAGAGATCTGAAGCAAGTTAATAGGATAAACTTTGATAATTTCTCTGCAAAGAAAGTACTTGTGTTCTCCTTTACGAGTCACCAATAAAACGCTTGACTAATTCATTAAATAGTTCTTCATACACATATACATACTTATGGCAGCAGCTGAGTTTTTCAAGTTGTGGGTCAACTTTGACTCAGAAAGGCGGTTAAGAGGATGAGAATAAGTACTAGGTGGTAGTGAGGATACACAAGAGAAGTGCAGAGGAGAAAAACAAATTGGAAGGAGAGGAAAAACAATTGTGATGAAGAAGAGGAAGAATAAGTGTGAAGAAGAAGAAGAAAAACAAATGTGAAGAAGGAGAAAAAAGTAAACGTGAAGAAAAAGAAGAAAACAAGCATGAAGAAAAAGAAAAAAATTTGAAGAGGAAGAAAAACAAGTGTGAAGTAGAAGAAAAACAAGTTTGAAGAAGAACAAAGACACATTCAAAGAGAAAAACAAAAACAAGAGGGAAGAAGGAGAAAAATATTGTGTGAAGAAGACAAAGACAAGAGTGATGAAGAAAAACAAGTGTAAAGAAGAAGAAAAACAAATTTGAAGAAGAAGAAGAAAGACAAATTTGAAGAAGAAGAAGAAAGACAAATTTGAAGAAGAAGAAAAACAAATTTGAAGAAGAAGAAGAAAGACAAATTTTGAAGAAGACAAAGACAAGAGTGAAGAAATATAATAAGAAAAACAATTGCAAAGAACAAGACAAAGACCAGGTACTAAGAAGAAAATAAAAAAGATAAAGACTAAGAAGAAGAAGAAAAAGAAGAGTACTTCTTGATTAATTATTTGAATAAATATATTTCTTTACCTGAATTCTGTTGATACTAAAAATAACAGTCAAGTCACTATGACACTCAGTTCATTGTTTCATGCCTGAATAAGTGATCAAGTCACTAGAGTTGATTCACAGGTTGTGTGACACTTTGCTACCAACTCCATCTTGACTATGGGGCATGAGTGCTTCGTTGCAAAGTAATGGTTAGCAATCTAAACCAGTTAACTTTATTAGGTGCTCTATTACTTGTGACCCTGTTCCAAACTAAACTAAGCTCAATAAATGATGATTTGCTTATAGGCCATGTTTTTCAAGACTGATGAATCTATTTCTATGGTTTTTTTTAACCATATTGTTGTTAATAATAATAATAATTAGAAGAAGAAAACACTATCAAAATACAAGGATCTTGAAGTGGAAATCTCAAAGATGTGGCACATAAGGACATCAATAATTCTAGTTGCAGTTAGAGCCCTCTGATTGATTGGAAAAGATTCTGATAGACTAACTAAAGGGTTTCCTTGTAGCCTGTGACTTAAAGAAATACAAAAAATTGTTTTCACAACTACAGCTCACACATTAAGAAGAGCTTCATCTGTGTAAAATGTGTGTGTTCTTATTATTTATTTTAATCAATACCCTTAAGAACTGGGAGTACTGCTTATGTCAATTCTTGATAAATTTTATGAGAAATCTTTATGTAGGTCAGTTTGCGAGGAGGTGCTGAAAAATTTGCTGTCTTATTTACTTCAAATGACCAAATATGACTTGTTTTGGAAGAGCTACTTCATTGGGCTGAGAAATTTTCACATCTTTTTATGTGGCACATAACCTGGATTGTTATTCAAAATTAAAATACATTTGCAATTTATAAAAGCATCAGAGTGTAAGGTTTTGAAATCTTGTTTGGATATTGTTAAAGAAAAGAGATCCTATTCCACAGAATTTTCCTTTAGATTTTACAGTTAAGATAAGGATGTTAGTCAGAAAATCTTAATATTAACAAAACTTGATTGCAAAAATGTGTTAGAAAATCAATATACATTTTGAAAACAGGATTCCCACAAAGGCAGCCATATTTGAACATTTTACTAGAAATGAAAGTAGAAAATATTTTGTGGCTTCATATTTGACACAGGATCCAGGTTGTTATTAGTAATTAACATATGTTTATATATATGAAGAAGTCAGAGTAAAACATTTTGATGTCCTCACTTGTCAGTCTGGCTTAGATATTATCATGATAAACACAACAAAATTTTAGTTTAAGTTTTAGAGTTAAGATAAAAATTTTAGTCTGAAAGATTTAATGAGATTCAAAGATTCAAAACCACATCAGAAATATTCACATAAAAATAAATTAGCCATATTTGAATAGTAAACTTGAAGTTAAAATGGAAAACATTTTGGATATGCTACAGAACCCAGGTTAATAATTTAATATAAATTTTTATGTATAAATGAGGTTATTTATCTGCATGCTCCCAGATATGGGTTAAATAGTAGGTATCTGGAAAAATCATTTTAATTTCCAAAAAATTGTTAATTCACTCAAAAAAAAAAAAAGAAAGAATTATTGTTACAATCTCAAATAGTTTCAGCTTTAAATAATCCACACAATGTGGCACAAGGGTGAGTTTAAAGCAGGAGACAAAAATTTCTCAAGCCCATTTCGGCACTTCCCCATATGAAATGTCTCAGGTACCAGAGACTGGCCTTAACCCACTCCTGGAGCAGAGGTATTGTCTTGGCTCGGGATAAACTTCTAGGGCTCAAGTACATTATATTAAGTTTTAATCCCTCTGATTGAGCTAGAGGATTTCAAATTAGATCTGTTTCTGATTCACTCCACATCAAAACCTGTTAGGCAAATGTGAACGCTAAAAAGGCAAAATGAAAAATAAAAAGTTCTATGTGCAGGGGCTCTGAGCATCCCAACTGACTCAAAAAACAAATCCCCACCCCAATACAAACTAAATGATGGAGCCAATCATGAACATTTCCGTTAAAACAACAAATAACAAAAATCGCTGAGTCATGTATCCATCTTAACTACTGAACAGGACCCACTCACAAAACTCAAGGCAGTAAGCAATCAGGTAGTCATAGAGTTCAACAGTGGTCTCCGGTCAACTGATTTGACACAAGGTTTAACATCAGTCTTTACTGACTCATCCATCCTCCAGGTTGCTTCCCTCGCCAACAAAGAGACATTCTGCCTTGATCCTTTATACCGGCAATACATAGAATTTTATTTTAACATATCTTGTCCCCTTTTCTTTCTACCTCACCAGCAGTACTTTATTGTTTCCATTTGTTCTTTTGCAATTATTCGCAGTATATAACAAGAACTATAAAGGCGTCAGAGTAAAGGATTTTACGTAGCGATTTAATAAGTTGGCTGACCATTATAATAAAGAATTTCTTTGCTTTGGCTTGAAATCAGTTTTTGCTGTCACAGTTTCAAATATCGAGTTCATGTTTAGCGAGTCTGTGTTTATCTGTACAAGACCAGACGTTATTTTGGTGGCTATTACTGTTATGGATGAAAAAATTTTGAAGAAGTCATTATACTTGGCACTCCTAAGCATAGAACTGTGAACATGGTTTCTGCGTGTGTGGGTGAGAGAGAGAGAGAGAGAGATAGAGAGAGAGAGAGAGAAAGAGAGAGAGGGGGAAGGGGGGGGAGAGAAATGTCTGTCACCAGATGGATGATATTAGTGTCGTCAACGTAATCACCCACAGGTGGATTCACTTTTTTTTCT